ACTTAAGCTTATAAACTCCAGATTTCTCCAACTTGTCCACCTCATCTTTGGCATTGAAAAAGAAACCAGATAACCTGGCATGTCTAAATGCCACTTTCATATTGTTTTTTCTGAAGAAACCCGCAATTATCTCTGTTCTCGTTTGAAAAGACAATGAATATTTATGCACACCTCTGGTTTCCTGAAAATGAATTAAAATTTTCAAGGAATCACACGTCAAAAGGTAAGACCTCGTTAGTTCTTAGCTCACACAAGTGAGCTAAGGGGTGTGATAACTGATTAACGGAAAAAGCATATTTTGAACATATATATAAATAGAACCTTTATAATGCAAAAACGTTCCATTTGACTGATTTTTGATCTCAAATACAGAAAATTTTGTAGAAATACATTTCACGACAAAAAGAATTTCACATTTTTTTATGACAACAAAATATTGAGCTACGTTCATACAAATTTCCATTTGCTAACTCGAAATGAGGAAATTTAGTTTCAACAAACGAGAGGGAGAAACGACTTCCACCAGAAAAAAATAATCCGTAAGGAGTACAGAGGTCCGCCACTCTATGCCGGGGCAAAATATTTCAACTTAAAAGTGAAACAAAATTTCTCAAATTCAGATTTCTGATTGATAACAAATTGTTTTCACTCACTGAAAAAGTGAGAAAATGATATTTTGGTGCAACATATGTTGTAAATATATAAAACAGAATGGTGCTGGATACAGCCTGTAAAGTCGTCAGGAGTTCGGATCCCCTTCTCTGCATGGTCCGTGACCATGAGAGAGCAGGAATTGGAGAATTTCTCTTTAGGGCAGCTGCACGAGCAGCTGATGAACTCTGTATAGTTTTCGACACTGAACGAGGTGACCACAACTCTGTCACCGAGTTGGAACCTGTTCAGCAAAAAGCTCAGATAAAAGCCGCAGAGATCACCTTACTTCTGCGTAAACACAAGGATAAGCCAATGCATGGGGTCTCCTTCAATAACATTGGAGACTCTGGCTTATCAAAGCGCCTGACCTTCGCATTTCTCAGCTCGAGTGGGCTGAAGTCGGAAACTGAGGGGTTCATCATGGCTTGCCAGGATGGTGTCTTCAACACCTTAGTCTACCGCAGTCGCGTGATGGGTATAGAGGTTCCTGACACAAGGTGCAGGGCCTGCCGCGAGGCGCCCGAGACCCTAATGCACTTGCTATCAGCATGTCCAGCATATGCGGTCTCGGCCTATATCCATCGACATAACGCGGCCCTAAGAGTGCTATACTACCATCTACGGCACTCTTACGGTATTGACGAAACACCGGTGTTGCCCAACGCTCCGGGGGATATTGAATCCATTGTGGGGAACGAGAAGTGCCGAATTTATTGGAACTATTCGTTCCCTACCCTCAGGCTCATACAAGCTAATAAGCCGGATGTAGTCCTTCTCGTCCACCAGACCAAGACGATATTTGTCGTGGAGTTTTCAGCTCCTGTCGAGATGAATATCGTCAGAAAAGAGAAGGAAAAACGGATGAAATATCGAGATTTTCTCTTCGAACACCGCAGACTCTATCCAGATCACCCTGTCAAGATGGTTGTTCTGATTATTGGAGTCCTTGGTGGAATGATGTCTTCTCTACTCTCGAATTTTAAAATCATACCGGCTTGCCGCACTAATGCAGAACTGTTAGCCGCACAGATGCAGAAGGCTGTCATTCTCGGCTCACTGCGCTTGCTCAGGGCACGTGATTCTCGGACCCAATGATCACTTACTCCACGGTGTGGGGAGTGGTCATTGGTTGATAATGCTGGCGCGCCCTCTCGAATGTATCGGGGCTTCGGGGGATAGGGCAAATAATGACCAAGTCTCTCGCGTAGTGACCGTCAAATTTTCAGAGATGGTGAACACAATTGAAAGTCAAGGACCAACAGTCCTTGGGTACAATATTTTGGGTACAATATTTTCGCATGCTGTGTACGCTGATGAAAAACTTCATCAAGCAGAAAGAATATATAACTAGGATCTCTATCTTGAAAGTGTGAAAGAAATGATACCCTACTTTCATGCAGCAGGTCATTTAAACTATGATGAAAGCTCACATCTTTACTACCAAGACATAGTCAAACTGCAAGAAAAAATGAAAAGTTTTGGTCTGGCATTTGGTCGGATCTGGGTATCGAACATGTCCTCATAAGGGCAACGGAGAGCTATTGACGATTGACGAGATTAAGTGACAGAGTGTTCGCTCGGTGGACATTGGAAATATTCTGTTCCTGTCACAGATCTCCTGTGAATAATTAGAGATATTCACTGAGGCTCGAACAGGAATCTCCGAACATGTGGACATGAGGCCCACTCGTGTGAAGAAAGATAACCTCAATAAAGAGAAGCTGACAGCATGGCTCTCAGAACACCCACCATTTCTGCGTACAGAGGATATAGTATCGCTAAGCACTGGAGTAATGGGTCATGATGAAGTTAACTGTCACTCAGCGCGACAAATTGGCATTACTGGCTTAAGGAAAATGATGGGAGAAAATTATGAAGATGTGAAGCAGAAAAGAAAAGACAAGGTAACCACTCTTGCTTCGGTTTCCTTCACATTGAAAATCGCAAATAAAAAGGTTGCTGTCAACCCTCTAACTCTCTTTCAACGGGTGTGTATCGCTAAGAGGTCTGACGACGATCTGAAAGACTTGTTCAAGTACGAGCTTGCACCATGTCCTATGTCCCTTTTCCTGAAGAAGGCCTACGAAATGGCACCAAGTCTTTCTTGTACTCAACTTTTACACCTCAAAGGGAAGTCGAGCTTGGCAACAGTGTAAGCGCAGTCATAGATGAGGGTATCTACTGCACAAAGTGGTTTGGCCCAAATTACATCGAGGTCCTTGCTCTACTGAGAGCTTTACGGTCGTCGATTAAGAACATCTGGTTTTAGAAGAGTGAAAGAGGGAACACTCCCAGCTTGATGTACATATCTGTATCATGTAAAATCCAGCCCGATGGCATTCTCTTTCTTCATGCAATAATCGGGTGCGATACTAACTTCGCACTGAAGTTCATGACTCTGAAGAAAGAATGAATCCATTCTTCTCCTTCTTTATTGTCAATTGCTGCATCCTCACAAATATTTTCACTTTTATTTCACTATATTCCATATTTTTGTTCGTGTTCGTTGTAAATACATAATTTTGAATAATGACGTTTTTTTACTACTTATTGGTTATGATCTTATGCGACGTACATACATATACAGGTGAACCCTTGTAGGTCCTTGGGTATTTTATAACAGACACGGTATGGTATTAGAGGCGATTATGAGTCAGAGAGATCAGTAAGCCCTAGGAAAGAGCAGAGAACCATTTTCGAGGAACACTTATTTTGGAAAAACAGTTTTGAAAATTCAAAAAGTTGATGACTCACAACTTTCACAGAGAAAGTAGGCGATTGGGATTGATGGTGTAGCACTACAGCACTTTGAAAATGGGTTGTAGCAGTTTTTATCGAAATTGGAAAACACATTTTTGATCGTCCATAAAAACTTTCCTAACTGACTGATTTGTGATTAATTTTTTTTGATCGACGGGGAATTTCGTTTTCTTCAGTTTGATTCGTAATCACTTTCCACTTAAGATTGACCGTATTCAAGTTATAGGTGAAAAACTAAAAGTCCAAAAATTGCGCGGCTTTTGGGTCACCAAAACTTTTCCACAACCTCCTTGAGGTCGAAATCTTGGATTTGACATCACTGAACATGAATGAATAACATACTGAAATTTCAATAACTTGGGAATTTTTCGTCGTGATACTCCTTTTCCACGACCTGCCGACTGGATTATTAACGCACATAACTACTAATAATGATGTCCCCTGCAGTAGAAGACGAAACGTTTGATACTTCAGGTTTCATTTGACCACAGACCAATTTTTGTTCTCTTCAATCGTGAATCTGACCGTGAAAGCCTTTGTTTTCATTTTGGAATAATAATGTTGCATTAGATGGAAATGGTAATGAAAATGAAAAATATTTATTTCATTACATCAATAAATGGTGGGTATTTTAAACTTTAGTACTATAATGAACCTCTATCAATACTCATCAAAGTAAATAAAATTTTCAATTTTCAGATCTTATTACACAGTAGTCATGAAGGTATGAATTGAATCATCGAGTTTCGTAAATTTAACACAATAGCTCATTTTGGTCATTCCAGTAAGAAAATACATTTTTTGTAGTTACATTAATCACTAAAAGTTGGTATAATTTCTAAAATATCAGTTTTTCGCATAGTGTACTTTTGATAAAGAATGTAGTGAAATGTTGAAACCTTTTATACTGATTCATTCGAACTGTGTCTTAATTCATAGGAACGGATGCATTTGCTCAGGTGTAGTCCATTTAAATGAAATAATGTGTTATTCTTCCGAATACTTTAGAATATTTTGCAATTCTATAAATTTTTGAAAAGCACGCCTATCAAGTAAAATCGTAAACCTTCGTCACGAATGGGATACAAAGTGATTACACACCGTATAACTCCCTTGATCGGTTCACTATGATACGATCTGGCATTTTTCTGAACGTTTTAGACTCTGATCGAAAATTTCACAACATTTCGGACATATACCGGATGTTCTGAAATACTTTTAAATGTTCTGGATTATTCTAGAACTTTTGAGAGGGCGAAACTTCCAGCCCCATTATTTTTTAAAGCACACCTTTCATGTAAAAATGTAAATATTATTTATGGACTAACTGATGTTACACTATTACAGAAAAAACTGTAAGCATATACATGCATATTCTGCTACATGTGCGAGGTCGGGTCGTATTTCATGAAGTACACTTTGACCTATACGACCCTAAATTTTCAAGTTACCATAATATAGTGATATATTGATTGGGCTGATTCGAAATGGTGCCGGTCCTGCCTCTTGTATCATGTATTCATGATTCGGAATTTTATTATCTTCCTGTCAAAAACCCCATCACATCTTCAGAACAATGCGTATAATTCAGTTTCAATGATTTTATACAACAGAAACACACTATTCCCAATTCAACCTAATAACATATGAGGTTCAAATCAGTTCAGTTGAAGATAGGAGATTGTGTAGTATGAACAGGTTTTGAATAACGAAACAAATACTGATTACAATACGATTATACCGTTATTATTCTCGCGTTCGCCAGTCGTCGGTCATTCATCACAATAAATTGTTGAAAAATAGTCAACTCTTGTTATAAAAATGGAAAATTTATCAACTCTGTACGAACATTACACTTCGGGTGGTATTAGTCGTGGTTTGTCAGTGGATCAGCCGTATTTCACGTTGAATAATAAGAATATTTCCATATATAGTGGTTCTATGCATTATTTTAGAGTTCCCAGTGAATACTGGAGAGATAGATTGAAAAAAATCAGAGCTGCTGGGTTGAATGCTGTGGAAACCTACGTGCCTTGGAATTTACATGAGCCTCAACCAGGTAAAAAATTCGTTAATTTATTTTCAATCCAAAAAGTCCACGTCTCTTGTGAAATCAGACAGATTTGATGATTTCAATAAAGTACATCGGCTTTCATGAGTATTGAAAAATAATTGAAATAACTAGATAACTAGTTATCTGATGATTTGGTGAAATGTGAATTGATTCAATTTACGAACAGATCATTTTGGCATAATTCTCCAAATTGAAGTGTATTTTCAAAATATATATTTTTGCTAACCGTCGACTATTTGTTGCATCAAAATTCAGCAGAATAATGAATATTTCAAATTTCAAAAAAAGAAACATTTCACAAATTATAATGAGTGTATGAAAAAACTCTAATTTGAGTTTGAAAAATTTGTATTTCAAATCCCTTATAAACGAGACGTAGTGTGTTCTTAACTTCAAGTTTTTTCATAGTAAAATTGTCTCAACACTGGAATTTGCTCTAATGATAATGTTGAAGTATTATATTATCAAAGTTGAGTGATTAAAAAAACAACTGGTTCCTCAAAATGTTTCGTATGGAATCCAATTTTTAGTTTGAATGTGATACAATGTTTCTAATGTAACTCAATTTCAGATATTTTGCTGATTTCATTTTCAAATTTTCCAAACTCTTATACTCGTATGCCATATCGAGGTACTTTTGCAATTATCAATACATGATCAGAATGTTCAACAACGCCCCAACAATTACAATAAAAAAAAATGATTCGAACGTTCTATTTGCTATCAGAGGTTATGCTAGATTAGTCTGTATGGTGAGTGCTTTTGCAGGTCAGATGGTAAGGTACGTCTCTGCTGAACTCTAAAAACCTGATTCGGTCCCCTGCGGGACAGGCACAAAGTATGTGCTCTGCTGTTTCATCATTTCCCAAACAGAGGCGACACACACTGTCTTCCGAGTCTCTGCATGTGATGATTCAAATGAGAGTGACCTGTAATAAGGTCTGTTAGACATCGTAGTTCATCCCTACTGTAGTTCAACAGAACTACAGAAAGTTTTGTTATTGTCTGATTACCACAAAAAAATGAAGAATTTTCATACATTGCTTATTAAATTTAAAAAGTTTCGATATCAGAGGGAGATAACCAAAATTGTATTGGTGAGGTTGCAGACCTTCTTAAGTCTCACTTCCAGATTCATCGATATCCAATTGATATTCGAAAACAATTAAGACTCGTAGCCGCCACAAGTCGGTCTTTCTTTGACTACTGGAAGTTTCCTTTCCTTTTCGTTAGCAGTTGAGAGAAATGTAGAAATATCCATGAGTGTCCTGAGGCTTTTGAATTCCCTCAAAAAAGGATAGCTCCAGCATTATAAGAACATCATTTCTCAATTACTTTTTGAAAAGGAGCTTTTTGACTCTCCACTGTTTGGTCAGCTATACCTCTCGTGGAAAGTCTCTTTTCAATTCTCAATTGCATGAGTCAAATCTAAACTCATCTTTCGTTGTATAATATTGTCTGAGATTATTCGTGTTGAACAGAGTGGAGTAGTGCCTTGCTATTTTTGCTACAAATTATTACTATCCAAAGTGTCTGATAATAAGTAAAAGAATGAATTTCATACATATCTTCGCTGAGAACTGTGAATTGTCACACGTAACAAGAATTTGGACTTTTCTGTTTGATCTTGGAAAATTTTGCAAATTATCTGAGAAAACGGATGTAGAAATGTAGATTAGATTATATACGGTAATGTTACACTTCCTCATTCATGATGTTATATTTTTTTTACAGAATGTAAAAAACATTTTTTTTCATTCTCAAATTTAATTTTTCAATGCAAAGGCATTGTGTAATTCCAATTTTTCATTTAAGTTAGTTTGAGTTCTATACAAACAATTTCCAAATAAAAACCATTTAGCTTCATTAGTTTGCACTGTAAATTTGGATTTTCATTGAAATCCATATTATGACCCAGCCAATTCACAGATAATGTTTCCTCAACCATTTTTATCTGATATAATCCTAGTGATACGTATTAATACTCATTCAGATTTTACTATAATTCCGAAGGTTGAAAAAACTTAGCCAATCAATGTAGATGATCTATGGCTTAGCGATATTGCTGAGTTGTATTATGTCACCTTCTATCAACTTGTTACTCAGTTAATTATAGTCATTCACCAGTATAATTGACGCAGACAGCCTTCAGATTATGCTCCTACCTATTTATGTGCGAATCTCATATGCAATGCTAATACTATTTTTTTTTCTGATTGATTCGGCCGTTACTTGATGAATATCCATAGTAATTCCATCAACTACACCTCACGCCTTGATCTTCACAATCTTCATTTTCAAAAATATATCACATATATATCACAGTAATCACTGTAACATGCAATATTGTGAAGATCAAATCATAAGGTGTAGTTTATGTTCATCACTATTTCAAAAAAAAATGTATTTCATCAGTTCGGACTTCCGTTGTCTAATATGATATAAATTGATTGATTCTTTCAACGAAATGGTTACTCCAGAGTGATGGTAGAACAGGCTTTAGCTAGAAGACAGCAAGAGCTCCACAAGGAAGAGAAGCCTCCACAACCAGTACTTGTACTCCCCTACATCAGAGGATTATCGAAAAGGATAAGAAGGATTGGGTCCAAGTATAACATCAGAACCTGCTTCAGATCTGGGAACACTATCCGTAGCAGCCTCACTATCCGTAGCAGGCCACCAAACGCGGACTGCGATTCCAAGAATTGCATTTACCGGATACCCTGCGAGTGCGGAGAATCATACATCGGTGAAACTAAGAGGCCATTGAAAGTTCGCATTGCTGAGCACAAGAAACACACACAGCGAGGAGAAACCAGCAAATTCGGAATAGCAGAGCATGTTTGGACTCATCAACATAACATCAAGTGGGCTCAAGCTGAAATCATCCACAAAGAGGAACACTGGTTTAGGAAAAAATTCAAGGAAGCCGCGTATATGTTGAGTAGCAACGCATTTAGTTTAGCTAGCGTAGAGATACGTAACATATCGAAACCTCTTATCAAGCGAAAAACGACCAACTCTCGCCAAACGGTCATCTCCCGCTAAAACCAATGAAGCTGACAGAGGAAAGAGAGGATAGGTGAGAGGTGAAAGCACCCGAATGACCTATAAATAGTCAGATCACGGAGGAATGAGTCCAGTTATCACCCGAAGACGATTGTGGATACTAACAATCGAAACGTCGTGACGTAACTTTGTTTTGGAATCTTTTAATTTTTATTTTCATTTTTGTTAATGATATTTTATTATTTTCAACTTTCAATAATATTTCAATTTTTTATTTTCTGGTTGTTGCTTGTATGTTATTTCCTTGTGATTCCAGTTTTTTGTTTTAATACAATTGTTATTTTCGGTTAATCTTTAATTTTTTTTCAGAGATTTCAAATCAATTTATATTATATTTGACAATGGAAGTCCGAACTGATGAAATAGACCACGAAACATTGTCAACCACTTTCAAACAAAAAAAAACTTACTATTATAACTGTTAATGATATAAAGGAATTTCACTTCACAGTAGTAACTGAAAAAAAAAAATTTATCTGTTGAAATCTTCATATATCAATAGTGGTATCATAATATCTTGAAATGTTATCAATAAATTTACGTTTTTTAATGAAAACGTTGTTATTCAGCAATACTATGAGAGCAAACAGCATGATGAAACCGTGAGTCCATAGGATTTTATCTATTGCTGGTTGCTCGATTGGTATTGCTCAAAAATAGCAAAGTTTGAGTTTTTTATATATGGACAGAACACAAGCACTACAGCAAACTCCTTAAGGCGCTCTTAGAGTGGTGACTGTGCGAAGGTAGTGGATTGGATTTAATTCGCTGTAGATTAAATCCATTTGGAAAAACGTTCTCAGGAAGTGTATACCACACAAACGCAGTTCTCCAAATGAACAAGTTCTTGAACAGTGAAGTTCGAGGTGAACTATGTTGAAACTCAAAACGATGAGTAGCTACAGTCCGTCGCGTATTTCTGGTATGTACCTCTCTTGGTGGAATCAAATGTGTCAAGTCACTTGAACACTTTCCGTGAAAGTATCTATAGAAGAGAGACGAATCCCTAACCTTTCTTCGATATTCCAGACTGTCAAGGTTGCAAATGATGTTCGTGTTTCGGACACAGATGGCTCTGTTCTGGATGGAATATAGAAGCTTCAGGGTATGCTTAGGGGCAGAGCTCCACACATGAGAACACTACTCCTAAGAAGGTCTGATCTGTTGCTTTCAAATCTGTTTTATATGTAAATTAGTTACAGGGTGTAACTGAATAAGATCCTATCTTTTTTTCGATGAGGAATCACCTCCTTCAATGTTTTACACTTATTTAGTTACACCCTGTATAATCAATAAAAAAAATCGTGCAATAATGAGAAGGAACCAATGGAGACAACAGGGATTGGTTTGCCTTTTAGGCCTTTTAGGTGCATCACGGAATACTATTAATAAATTTCATCTAAAGGAAATTAATGGAAATCTGTCGAGGTTTAGTAATATCAATTTTTTCACTTGAATTTTGAAAGTTTTGGGATTTTTTATTTCTCTGAGGTCGGGTAGGATAAGGTAATGTCAGTATAGTAATGGATAAAGAAAATAACTTTTGTCCAATTTCTACTGAGACTTTTATTCGTTACGATCGATTTCTGTTTATCAAACCATTTTCGAGACACATATTGACATAAAAATCTTTGAAAATAAAATGATACAGTCGATGGTGTTCAGGTATCTGCAGTTGGTACCTAGAATAACGGGAACGTTACCTCAATTAATGATACCATTTCTGAGATACCAAAACAATCAAATTTCCAAAAGCCACTCTCCTCGATGAGAAGACTTAACGGATTGTCTCTGGTCTGGATTCCTGACCATACTAGCCTGGAAAGCAATGGGGCTGCTGATTCCCTTGCAACGAAGGGTGCTGCAAGCAGCTTCATCGGACCAGAACTTGTCATCGGCATCGCTTTAGGCATTGCCAAACAAAGATTGAACACCTGGATGGCAAGAAGCTTGATACCAAACAGTTGTTGGACTACAGTAGGGATGAACTACGATGACTAACAGGCCTTCTTACAAGTCACTGTCATTTGAATCATCATATATACAGAGACTCGGAGTGTCGGAATACACACACTTTGTCCCTGCTCCGCTGGGGACCGAATCAGGTTTTTAGAGTTCGGCAGAGCCGTACTCTCATCATCTGACCTGAAAGACCATCCACCATAGAAACTAATCGGCTTCATTAAGAAGCTGGGTTTATTTGGTCAATTGTGAATAGGTGTGGGCCACAATAAACCCTTGCGGGTTGCGGTGTGAGGTTGAATAGACCCACTCACTTTGTACCTAACCTACCAAAAAAATTATTATTTAATTTAAAAAACATATCAAAATTACTGGCTATTGAGGTAGGAGGGTGAATTTGTTGGAAGCTTCGGAAATAAATGAATTGAATAAAAACCCCAATTTCAAAACCCTTATTGACCAACTAGAACTATGCAGCTCTCATCTTTTGAATTTGTGAATTTTGACAATTCGTTTAGGATCCACTGGTATTTGGAAAAAAATCACGAGTAGTGTTTTTGTATCAATTGTCAGTAATTTTGATATGTTTGGTGTAGTAATGAATATTACTGGAGTTTTTTTCCAACACCAAATCGTTATTTTTAACACCTCGATACGTGTTTCGATCACCAAGTGATCATCTTCAAAGAGGAAGTTTTAATCTTCCTCTTTGAAGATGATCACTTGGTAATCGAAACACGTGTCGAGGTGTTGAAAATAACGATTTGGTGTTCGAAGAGAAATTAGACAAAAGTTATTATCATTATCCTTTATCCAAAATTAAATTTCACAAAATAAATAATCATCAATCGAACAAGATAAGGTAATGAGAACAAGATAAGATAATAAGAAAAAATAAAAAATCATATTCATACTTCTTTGACAATTGTGCTAGTCAGCTGTAACAATGTGAGACAAATCAATTGAACAGAGACAATTGTAGTTTTTGAAATACTTTTTGTTGGAATTTTTCATTGCCTCTACAATCCACTCTCATCCAAAGATTTCGGTTGGATGAATCTCTAATAACAATAATATATTGTTGTTTCGGTGAATACATTCGTTATTGATGATTAGAAACAGATGGCAAAGGTATCTAACTTTGCAATTGAACTGAAGAATCAGCAATAAAACTTTTTGAATTTCATGACGCAAAATGACTATTAATGCGATTTTTCATTAACTTAACCTAAATCTCATATTCAAATGGACTGTCAAGTTGTGATAAGAATTCACTGTACATATATTTCATTTCCATAAGACATGAGCTCTTATCGGCCACGTTCAAACTATCTTTATTTGAATTCTCAATGTATGTTGATTACATGAAATTGTAATTCATCTGTCGGTTCGAAGAAAATTCAGAATAAACATTATGCAGTAATTCGAATATTACATTATTATAAAAATGGAGTTTAAGGTCGTGAAGGAAGGTGAAGAAATGGGACAACATGAAAACCAATTTCACTTCTTATATCACTCTGGGAATATTTCTCACGATTGATTGACTGATTAATTTTTTTCAATCTCTCCATAATGGTATGTCAATTATGTAGTATAAATATGACAGGAATCAAGTCATCTGACATTAGATATTAATGTTATGGAGACAATTGGATAATCGATAACTTGGTGGAATAAAAAATAGTTTTTCTACATTATTCCCACTGAATATTCAATACCTTCACTTTCAATATATTGAAATGTGCTTGCATTTTCCTCCGTATTGAATAATTCATTCATTTTATGATGAAATTGATGTTTCAAAGAAGTTTCAAAAATTATTTCATCACGATTATAGTTAATTTGAGGAATGAGAATCATTTCAAGTTTCATTTTTACAGTGTATGCAAGGATTTTCAATTTCCTGAAAATACGAATGACGAAAGTAAAGAAAGTTGTCATAAATTCCGTCTTTCTCTTAAATATATGAAAGTTATCAAAATGTTTCCATATTTTTCCTAATGAAATTATAGCAGGCGAAGTATATTTGTATGCAAAGACAGAGTTATTCATAATTTTTCAAACCTTCAGTTACCATTAGATAGAAATTGTTTTCTAACATACTTTATTCATATTTTAGGCAAGTATGACTTTGGAGAAGGAGGAACGGATATGCAAGAATTGCTGAATATTGAAAAATACCTGAAAACAGCTCAAGAAGAAGACCTTTTTGTGATTGTTAGACCAGGACCTTTCATTTGTGCTGAATTCGAATTTGGTGGTTTACCAAGCTGGCTATTGAGAGAAAAAAATATCAAAATACGAACATCTGACGAAAAATTCATGAAACATGTCCGAAGGTATTTCAATGTCCTCCTAACACTGCTGGCAACTTTTCAGTTCACCAGAGGTGGACCGATAATATCTTTTCAAGTAGAAAATGAATATGGTAGTACTGAAGATTCGGATGCCGATCCACCTATCATTCCCGATTTGAAATATATCGAGGAACTCAGGCAACTGATGATAGCAAATAACATAACTGAGTTACTTTTCACGTCAGACTCCCCAACAGGTCATGCAAGCAGAGGTTCTCTTTCATCTTTATTTCAAACAGCCAATTTCAACTCAGACCCAGAAAAAGAGTTCGACAAATTGAAAGAGTTGCAAAAAAATAAACCGTCTATGTCAACTGAATATTGGGCAGGATGGTTCAACCACTGGTCTGAAAAACACTATATAGGAAATACAGTAGACTTCACTATCACCTACGAAAGAATATTGAAATATCCAGCCTCTGTAAATTTATATATGTTTCACGGAGGTACAAGTTGGGGTTTTTTGAACGGAGCTAATATGGCATCTGTGAACCAGTCCGATTATCAACCAGATATAACCAGTTATGATTATGATGCACCTCTTACTGAGTATGGTGACTATACTTCTAAATATTTTGCTGTGAAACTTCTCTTGGAAAAATTCAATCCAATCAAAACGAAACTACCAGAAGTGCCAATTGTGAAAAAACCAGATTCTTATCCATCTCTGAATATCAGTGAATTTCTTCGATATGAAAATATAATTTCACAACTACCTGATCAGGTGGAAAGCAGGAATCTCATTTCAATGGAAAACTTACCCATCAATAACAATACTGGTCAACAGTTCGGATATATTATATATCGTAAAAGATCGGTGACCATAAACAGATTTGCTGTTTTGAAGATATTGGGTTATGTTTATGACTCTGTAAATGTCTACGTTAACAATGAGCTGATTACCAAAAATGTTGTCGATCTAGATTCTTTCGGTTACTGGAGGAAAGAGAATGGATCGATTAACTTAGGTTCCGACAAAGTTAAAGAAAATGCTACCATTGACATTATGGTTTGCAACATGGGAAGAAATAACTTTGGTTCTCTGGATCAATTCCGACAATTCAAGGGTTTATGGCAGGGGATATTACTCGATGACCAGGAGTTACTCGATTGGGAAATTTATCCTGTTGAATTCAAGAAGTCTTGGATTTCTAACCTCAGTGGTTGGACCACTTTCGATGCCTCCTCAACACCTTTAATAGGAGCAGGCTTATATAAAGCTGAATTACTCCTGAAAGACTTGCATGATACTTTCATCGATATGAGTAAATGGAGGAAAGGATTAGTTATCGTAAACAACTTTGTATTGGGTAGATTCTGGAAAATTGGCCCGCAGCAGAGTCTCTATATCCCTGCACCTTTTCTGAAAATTGGTATAAATGAAATAATTGTATTTGACGAGTTCTCTTCCGGGAAAAATGTATCATTCTCTGATGAACCTATATATCTCAACAACTTCGTCGATGATTTATTTGAATTGAGTTAACGTTTACTGTATTCAGTTACGTTTTCAGTATTCATTGAATGCATTTTAATGTAATAATTATTGAATAAATAATTTAATTCATCAATATTTTCATCATCTTCATTTTATCATCAACACTTCGACTAGAATCTAAAGAAATGAATTTATAGGGGCATAATTCAACCATATCAGAACCAAGGTCATCCCAGGCGGTTTTCGAAAATTTTCATCATGGGGAGAAATAATGTAGCTAATATGAAAGACTGAATACTCAAATAGTTGGTGGATCTAAAAACAAGTCGGAGAAAAATAAGAAAACTCTGAAAATTTCATTCTACATACTACAAACGAAATCAAACAGAGAAAGCAATGATGAAATCATTTATTTCCATTCAGTTCTCTCATTGAGTGGTTTATAATTTCATCATTGAAATACGCCACACTGACCAGGTTCCAGATAATACCAAGAAAGGACAATATAATATCATTTGCAGAATGTTGATGAGTCTCCCAATCATATCGTCACCATTTTGTCTTTCTAAGATTCCTTCTAGAGCTCCTACAATCATCAGTAGGACTGAACAGGAATTATTGGGAGTCGAATTTTGCTCAAAGACATCCTGTACCTGTCAGGAAGATGAGAAATGGATTTTGTCAGGTCATATCTGGGATTATTTCATTCTCATATATGTAATTGTAGGGATATCATATGTATACCATGAAAGATAAAACGGAAACTGTATTACAGATCGTTTGGGAGTTTTTATCACATATTCAATATTCAATGACGTTTAGAATTTATAATGAATTACATTTTTTTTAATATCGTCAGGATATTTTGAATATTTACTCGAATTTGAATGTTGAAGAAAGTTATCTTCGCTGTTTCAATGAGCGAGTTTTCTTTCCTATTCGAACGAACGAAAAAATAAGCTGTTTCAAATTGACAGTCATTATATTAAATAAATTCAGAAGTTGCACGTGAGAATATCTGAAAAATGGAAAACATATTAACAGATTGATAAGTCTATTTCAGAAAAAATCAGGTGATCTGAAATGAAAAATGAGTAAATCTAACATCGCCCACTCCCGCCCCATCGACTCTCAGTTGAAACTTCCAAATGACAACCACATGTAGGAACTCTTTGAAATTACCCATCAGTGGTCAGAGAAGAGAAATTATTGAATTCTATTCAGTCATTGAAAAAATGTTTCGAGTCGTTCAATCCGTTCTTATCCGAATGTGTGAGAATCCTTATAGTCATGACTGAACTCATGATCTTTTGACATAAAATGGTTTGCAAATGTAAAATTCGTCTTCAAATCCAAAAACTACTTACATGTCCTTTTATTCTTTAGAAAAAAGTGCTCCCCTTTGAATCACTATGGAGTTTGGGATAAGAATCACTCCTGACCTATTCGATACTGTAGTTTTGCCTATTGTTGTTGATAGATTTGCTTCAGTTATAATTCTCAGGACTATGTCCAAGTATACCTTTCTTATTAAATGAGCAATATTATTGTTGAGTTTGCCAGAGTAGCTCAATGTCCTATTAGGCTCAGTGTTATTGAGGATACACTACAAAAACACAATTTTGTCTATTTTCCACTATTACATATTTTCCACATTAAACAAATAGCAGTTGATAACAAAATACCTACCACTCTAGTTAACAACATAATAATGAAATATCAACAAAAATCAATAATAAAAGAACTATACTCAATTTCCACAAGACCAGAACACAAATATGTTAGTATCAATTATGCTGGTAGAATCTCCGAGAATATTAAAAAGTATCTCTCAAAATTCAATTTACAAACATCCTACACATCCAACGGAAATTTAGGAAACATATTATTTAATGCCAAACCAAAATTAGAGAAAGGGAAGAGATCTGGTATATATCGATTAGAATGTGGTGAATGCCCCGCCATATATACAGGCCAAACTGGAAGAAATTTTGATACAAGGTACCACAAACATGTCATTTCGGATAAAAAATCATTAATGTACGAACATCTTCAAAATTCAAAATATAAAATAGATAAAGATAGTTTAAATATCCTACACACATGCGAAAAAGGGAAAATGATGAATCTGTTGGAATCTATGGAAATAAACAGGTCAAAGAAAAATCCCAATTCTATTGTCCTCAACGAACAACTTGATTTAAATAATAGTCCTCTCCTGAACCTTTAATCTAGATCCCAAAACCTACATTACATTGAAAGCTTTGTTATGTTCATGGATTTTACAGGTATATGAAACGCAGGTACCGG